CTTGCTTTTATTGTTGGTGTCATCCATTTTGGTATATCATTTGTCGCTGGCGTTGTTAGTCCGGTGTTGTTAGTCCGCAGTTGTAGCAAGTAATATTTCCCTGTCAGTCGAAGGATCCATAAAAATTCCTACTCCGAAAGGATGGCGCTCTTTCCTCTTTTTTCTTATTTCTCTTATAGTATTCCCTTTTAGAGTCAGATGAAGATAGGGACGCTCTCTTCCTCTTGTACTAATACTTACGAAATTTACTATTATAAATACACTGCCTAGCCAATTACAGATATGCGATCTTTGTACTTTTTTATTATCTTATCACTACTTCTAACTATTTGTAGCGCAGCTCCCAATCCCTATCATCTGCTAATCTCAATGTAATAGCCCTTGATTCTACCTCATCATGCATACTAACAACTTCTTTCTTAACAGAATCTGGTAACATTCTTATTACCTTATCTAAATGCCTACCAATCTTTGCCAAAAAATCATACTCATACTGGTCATGTAGTTTAGACAATTTTACCTTTGGCCAAGCCTCCTCCAATGAATCTTCTTCTTCGATCTCCCTATACAAGGCCGAAAAACTCTTATCTATCTTCCTTTCAATACTACTAAGAGCTGTCAAGAAAACATCCACTGGAACTGAACTAACTTTTTCTTTCTTTCAAAAACATGTTGCAAAATTCTCTCTAATTCTATTATTAGCTTCCTGCGAGTCTTTATCCAGCTCATTCTCATTACCCCGTCATCATCCGAATCCATATCTACTACCTCTCCCATTCTATCTCTAGTAATTATGAGACCTTGTTTCTGCCCTTTACTGCTCTCTTTCGACTGCGCCTTTGGATCATTATCTTTTCTTTTATCAAAATAAGCATGCAGTCTTTCACCTAGCTCTTTCTTATTACCTTCCACTGAGAGGCCACAAGCTGCATACAGGTCCTTCAACTCCATCAAGATGAGCTTCGTCCAACTACCGGCATGCATCATGCGATTAGTAGACATACTCGAAGTTATGTACGAAAATACTACTTGATTTACACAGTTTTCTAACATATTAATTTTTGTTGTCTGGGTTTCTTATTTTTTTTTTAAACAAATTGAATTTTATGTGATAGAAAATGATAGAGCCAGCCTTTACAAGGCGAGCGATAGCGCAAAGAAAGATAACCTTCTCTACTGCATTTCTTGGCCTTAAATACTCCTCCCATATCACTGGTTTATACTCAGCCACAGTCATTATCCCTTACCCCCACTATCAATCTAACAATAATCATTAGGGTAGCTGCGCAGCACATGACATAGCGCAGAACCAGTATGATCACACTGTGACGAGTAAAATTCTGACTATTCGTCTGATAAAATCAGTTACTAAATAGCTTACTTTCCTGGTAAATTAAACAAAACTAAAAAAAAACAAGAAATATAAGTAAATGTGTTATCGCGACGAATTTATTATAACTCATGATTCAACGATTCGAATCAACTGATTTTTATATCATTCGATTAGTTTTATTGTGACGCATCAAATAGTATATAAGTCGTTCGATTTGGATTTATGGATTACAAGTATACATGTGTGTCTAAATTGCCCATCTTAATAAAAAATTAATTACGGTATTTAGGCAGCCGAAATTAGTCTTATATAGTAACGAAATTAATTTTCATATAGTATATATCGAAATTATTGCCGAAATTTTTTAAACTCTTATCAAAATACATAATATGGGTGTTGACAAGTGAAAAAGGGAATTCTAAGTTTTCTGAAATTATTTTACAAATAAAACCCTGAAAAAATGTGATTTAACATACCATATAATTTATGTCATACTTAATTTAAATTTATCAGAAATCAGATTAGAAAGCAGAGCCAGCAAAAATCAAAATTCTCTGTTTTCGCTTGTCGACACCCATATAATATAGTTATTTCGGAGGGTTTACAGCTGTTTTCATAAATTCTGGGACAAATAATAAAAATTTGGCTAAAATTAACTCTGCCGAATTCGATAAGTTTTTGATCATGGTACATAAGCATTTGATTTCAATATATAAGCTTTTGGTTTCTGTACATAAGCTTTTGATTTCTGTACATAGCTTTTGATTTCAGTAAGTGCCGATAACATTGAAATCAAAAGCTTATGTACTGAGATCAAAAACTTATCGAATTTGGCAGAATTAATTTTGACCAAATTTTTATCATTTGTCCCAGAATTTATGAAAAAAGCTGTAATATAAAAAATTTAGTAATGCCAAAATGTTTGCCGAAAATACTTTTTTTCAAAAATAATTTAGGCACACATGTATAATCACAAGATCTTCGTATTCAAACATAATATTGTAATAGACAAATATTTTAAATCGATAATATTCAACCGTAAATAAGTCGTAACTCTGTAAAACAAATCAACCGATTTTTATACCATTCGATTGCCTCAAAGAGGCGAATCGAATGATATAAAAATTGTTTGATTTAGATCCTTGGTTCATGGGATATTATAAACTTACCACAATATAATATCAGCGCGCCATAATACTTTCTCACTTTCGCAGCATTTTAATAGCAACAACTCGTATCTAAATTTAATGATTTTAATATGATTTGATTCGTCTCTTCAAAATGAATCGAACAGTATAAAAATTATTCAATTCCGATTGATAGATCATGAGCCTAAAGAACTTAAAGAAGAAACATGAAAGTTAGTACCAAGGATTAAACGAAGTAAAAAAAAAAAACTGAACTACAATGCTAGTGTAAAAGCTACACAACATCAATGATGAAAAGCGCTGAAATTCGAAACTGTTATATAAAGAATTTAGAAAAGAAGAAACACGAAAGTAATGTTAATAACCAAATGAAAAAAAGACAACAACACCGGACTAACAACACCGGACTAACAACGCCAGCGACAAATGATATACCAAAATGGATGACACCAACAATAAAAGCAAG